GACGAAAACCCAACCCCGATGGCAAACACCGGGGGGGGGGGCTCGTTTTACAACGTCGTTGCCAAGCGACGAAAACCCAACCCCGATGGCAAACACCGGGGGCGGGATAGGGTGGGTGGGGGGGGTGAAACGGAGCATGATTCAGTCGAGCCTGAACTTGATGCTGAAGCTAGAGACTAATCAACATCAACGTGAACAAAACACAAATACAGGACGTCTTGCGAGACACCCGGGTTGGTTTCGGTCCAGTCCGGAGGCGTTTCCCGCCCTGGAAGAAAGAGTGCTTCCTACCCTCGCCGCCCCCTCTTCCTTCCTTGACAACGCCTGTTGAAGGTTCTCGCAAGGTTATTCCTTGCTTGCAAGGTGTCCTCTACCACACGTCGTGGCTGCATCTTGGTCACAAGTAGACATGTGATGAGGATCGCCATGAAAAACCGTGCGTGCACTTCTCCTAGGAGTGATTGCTGTCCTGAGGTGCGCTCTCTGTGATCTGTCCACAAGCACAATCCGTTGAGGTAGAACCTACTTGAGCACGGGACACGAGAACCGAAAAAGTATAGCTCTCACCTTTCGACGCCAACGTTTTCACCCGTTGACGCAACGCCTCCTCCTCGCCATTCCCTGCAAACCTCTCAATGTCTCCGACTGCTGCCCCGACCAGCTCTTCCTCCGCCTCCCCGGGTACCGGAACCTCGATCTCCAGGTCGAGCAACTCGTCCACGTCATCGTCGCTACCGCCAACCGCGCCTTGCCGAACGCCGGCGTTAGCACCCATTACGGTGCGACGGCTGCAGATACCGCCGCTGCTTTGGCTCCTCAGCGGTACATCCGAACCGCTCTCGGCGCCAGACGCCAAGGGTAGCAACACCACTCCGGTCGTCTCCGCCGCTGCACCACCAGCGTAGTCATCATAATTATCTTCGTCACGACCGGGCGGCTTCCGGCGGTGATCTAATGACGATCGTGCCGCCCCCGCCGTGGCTGCTGTTGACTTCGTTGCTGCCGCTGCCGGCGTTGACTCGTCGATGTCGGAACCCCCCCCCCCCTCGTACTCCGAGGGACAGCAGGTCACGTCGGTTGGGAGCCGGGCCCATGCCTCCTCTTCAGCCTGCAAGCGCCGCGCAGGGTCGCGTCCGGTCATGGCACCGTCGTTGTGCCACCGCCCGCGGGTTGGGTTAGGTTGCGGAGTACAGGGGCCTCGGGGGGGGGGGGCGTGGAAAACAATCGAGGTGCCAGCTCACAAACACATGTGCCTCGAGCTCTAAGAAACAGGCGTGGACATTGATATTTGTAGCAGCTTGCTGTTGTTCTCTCCAAGAAAAAACATCGAAGATCTATATACGTGCAGTGAACAACAACAGTATGCATTTACGATGTTTCTACCCCTGGAAATTTGCAGGGGTGTTCGTCCTCGTCGTGATGAGAGATATGCCGCCCAGGTCCGTTTCGTCTGAAAGAGTTATGACGTCCCACTGCTGGCGCAAAGGACTCCCCTCCCCGTCCTGCGGCCTGTCTCCCCATCGATACCTTGACACAATCCTAGCGTACGGTGGGCGCAGACTAACCTGAGCCTCCGCGTCCACCCAGGCCTCCGCCTCCGCCCATATTTTCTCCATGGCGTCGACGTATGCAAAGTCTGGGTCCTCGTCCTCCTCTTCCCCTTCCTCTCCGTCAACATCCGATTCTTCTCCCTCCTCGTCCTCATCTCCTTCTTGTTTCCGGCCGGTGCCCTCGTCATCACGTTCTCCGACCCCAGCCACGACGACCTCCCGGTTGTTGTCGGCGCTGGGGTGGCATTGATCCCGCCCCAGCGGTGGGATATTGTTTATTTCGCCATCCTGCGCCGCTCCCGTTTCGCGTCGCGGCGGGCTATCGCTCTTCTCGCCCTTGTTGCGGCTGTCAGCGCAGCCGTCGTTTCCGCTGCCTACAGTGGCAACGCTAGCTATCGCCTCCGCATTGCTCCCTTCGGTGGTTGTCTCCACCGCTGCCACGGCCGGTACATCCCCCTGCCCTCCTCCCGCCGATGCCGGCGAGGCGGCGGCGGTGCCGGGGGCGCGTGTACACACCCGGGTCGCTGCTGCTGCTGCTGCTGCTGCTGCTGCTGCTGCTGCTGCTGTTGCACCAGCAGCTGCTGTTGGTTTGGCACGACTGGCTTGAGCTACGCCTGCTGATGTTGACACCAAGGCGAGGCAAGACGACGCGGTCTGCTTGCCAACAGAAGCCCCACCTGGGCGGCCCTGTGGAAGGCTTGGGCGTCTGGGGGACCTCCTGCCGCGCTATGGGGCACCGTAAACAATGTCCGCAGAGGAGGGGGGGGGGGGGGGGGGNGGGGGGGGGGGGGGGGGGTACTCATAGTCGTTAGACCATTGACCTCGCATCCCTAAACAGAGGGGGGGGTACGAAAACGATTAAAAAGGTACGCAAGAGTTGACTTAGGTACGGATGGTGCATCGAGGACGTATTGTCATCCAACCGGGGCGACGCGCGAGGGGTGGCAAAATTACACATGTATTTTCCACGATAGACGCCCTGGCCGGGCGCCACGCGTTAGTCAAGGGTACAAATTCTGCGGGAAAAACGGTACAAGACGTGGGTTGGCTGCGTTAGGTCATTCTCACCGGCGAATGAGCCTGCGCTTGATTGTCGAGCGGGTCCGATCCCTTCCCCTCCCTGCGCCACTCGCCATCCCCATCGCCACGACCACTGTCCTTACACGTCTGGGCACACTCAACGCGTCTACTAGTGGAAGAGTCCACTCTGCCCAGAGCATTGCTTTCCGGGGACGGTCGCTGTTCAGGAGCAGCAGCATCAGCAGCAGCATCAGCAGCAGCATCAGCAGCGGCGGCGGCAGCAGAGGCAGCAGTAGCTGGGGATGAAGGCGTGCCAAAGCCACCGTGCTCGCTCTTCTTATGCTTCCTCCTTTTCTTCTTCTTTTGCCTCTGCTTCTTGCCGGAAGCGCCGTTGTTGTTGTGGTTATTGTTGTTGTCGGTAGCCCCCTTCTCTTCAAAGGGAGAAGCCGCAACCGATCCCGCAGTCGTTGACGCAGTCGTTGCAGACAACGGCCACGGGAGTGAGTCCGCACCGCCAGAGACCGTAGCGGTAGAAGGGCCACCTACTGGGGTCGAAATAGAAGAATCTGCTACAGCAGCCAAGGAGACATCTTCCCCCCTTGTCGTCGCCACCGCCGGCTTCGCACGGACAACGCCGGGACAAATGTCGTCACCAGCAACCGCAGTGGCAGCGACAGTACCAGAGGCACGGAAAGGCACCACAGCATTCATCTCGGTCGCGATCGCCCCGGGGTTGTACGTAAACGGTGCCGCGCGTGGGTTCAGGCGATAGACGGCCGTGGCTTCGCGAGGACCGGACTTCTTCTTCGGGGGGGCGAGCTCGGCGGCCTTGCTTCTGCCGCCGCGCTCGGGACTTTCCGCGGAACGGCCGGTGCTCTCAGAAGCGGCGCCCTCCGTCCAACGACCGACAACTCTCTGAGGGGCACCTGCTCCCCCGAGCGAACATTCCGGTGCCGGTGAGCGCCTCTCGGACACCCCGCCTTGTGCGGCTCGCCCCCCCGCCCGGCCTTCCGCTCCCGCGACGCCCCCTTGTGGCTCCCCGTTCCCGTTCCCTCTTGCTCTGTGCCGTTCCGTCGCCTCGCAAGCACCCCCCTCTCCGCTCTCCTGGCCGGGACAAGCACCAGCAGCAACGGCAACGGACTCTTCCGTGGCGAGGCTCCTGTCACTACCGCTACAGCAGTCCCTTCCGTCGGTAGCGCTAGTCGATGTAGCGGTAATATCGGCTTGCGCCGGCGACTCCGCAATCACCACCGAAGGTCCAGCGTAAGCAGTCTGGCTTAAAGCTGGCGCAGGGGAAACACCACGACCTGCACCTTCTCTCCCGGGGGCATCACCCCCGCCACCGCCATCGCCCAGCCCCCCCAACGCGACCGCCGCCGCGTCAGGAGTGGATCCATCCCCGCATGACTGCACGGGCGCCGTCTGTGCTCGCCTCCCCTCGCCTCTTCTATCAAACACTCTCGAAATAACGGGCGATGTTGTCGATTCTCCCGTGGCATCGGCACCGGCACAGGAGCGACCGGACCCCGTTCCGGCCCCTTGCAGGGACCTCGCGCGATCTTCTTTCCCACCGAATACAGGGGTTGCCACAACGCCGCCGTTGTATTCACTCTCAGGCTCGCCGAGAGGCGACCGAGAAACAGCAGACGCTCCGGAGAAGGCGGGAGGGGCGGCCGCGATGCCGGCGGCGGTGGTCGCGATGCCAGGGGTTGTGCGGCCGCTCCGCGTCATGGCGGAGGATGGCTCTCTCGGAGTGGCGTGGCTCTCCATGCGCTCGATCGCGTTGAGAACCATGGCGCTGGCGGTCGTCGCGGATGTGGTCTTGCGGACCTGCGGTAGGCAGGTGGGAGGGGGGGTACTCATAGTACTCATAGTCGTGCATGCCGTAGTCGTTAGACCATTGACCTCGCATCCCTACATAGCCGGGACGGAGCACGCCGGGTTCTCACCGGACCAGGCTCTCACATCACCAAGCGCGAAGCGCCGAGAGGTGTTCAGCCAGTCGCATGAAGGGTGCGCTGCATCCTGCTAACGGTGTTCGGCATCTTGTGCTTACTTCCTTGCGTACGGATGACAGCTGCGTATGAATTAATTTATTTTCTGGTGCTTTCACTTCCAGAGACAGTTGTAAGCACTGTGTAACTGCCTCGAGGGTGCTTGACCATTTTAACACAACGTGGTGCGATCATCCCCCTTGCGCGGAGTGAGGGTTCTCGACCCCGCACAACATGATCTACTCGACCACCATTATCGTTACCGCCAAAAAAAAAAACAGAAGTAAAAAAAAAACGGTAACCTGGTTGCCGATTTCACGAAGTGAATTGGCTTGTTGTACAACGTCGTTGCCAAGCGACGAAAACCCGACCCCGATGGCAAACACCGTGGGAGGGTGAGGGTGTTGGAAAAAAAGAAAAATCGGGACCTGCTCTGCACTCCGCAACAGCGGCGAGGGCAGCAGCGGCAGCACCGTAGCAGCCCACTAAGAGTTCGTTAGACACCGTTATCTAGCAAGACACAAGACAACATCGCATTTGGAACGACTTAAACCGTGGGGATGTTGGTTTGCAGGAGGATAAATCTGTGCCTGGTCAAAAGTAAAATCTAACACAATAATATCACCAATAGGTTTGTGCCATGAACACGTTACAATCGGTACACGAAACACAATCAGTATCAATTCTGATTTTTAAGTCCGGACCACAGACAACCGACTACATTAGATCAATACCCCGCTCAAATAGCAACATGGCGTTGCCCCACTACAGCTTTACACCCCTCCACCTTCCATAAGAAAAAAACACTGCAACTGAGTCAAAAGTATGATAAAATGATCTATCTTTTACCTGTTTCACACCATAAAAAAATGTATGATTCCGACGGCAATTTACCAATCATGAAACACACCTCCCATACCAGGCCCTTCGGCTTACGGCTGCTGGATTCAGCGGCAGATGAGTCTCCCCCATCCGCCGCCACCGCCTCCGGAGAAAGCTTTCCGCAAGAAAGTCTCTCCGCTGCGCGGGCCGCGCGCTGTTCTTCCTCGAACCTCTTCTGGTCCGCGATGCGCTCCACGAGCTTCGTGAAGTCTCGCCCGCACCTGCAAAAAAAAAAAAGAGCGTTCTTCGGTTTGGTCGTAAAAAACAACCGAATCACGCATCGGGGGGATGTACTGCCCCCCTTTCTGTCAAGAGCAAAGAGCCTTGTTCCATGCATGTAAACCTTTTTGCTGTGTTCCATCGATGCTATGCTCCCAATGCGGTGCTTGTCTTCCTTCCTTTTTATGTCTCTCGGATTGTTGCATGTGCCCCATTTTGAGTGATTCAGGCTAAACAACAAACAAGCGACACGTGTTATACGGCTATTTTCTCGACACCAACGGGAGTGATTCAGGCTATACAACAAACCAAGGGAGACGTGTCATACGGCTTACGTCTCGACACCAACGGGTGTTGGTGCCGAGAAGGGCCGGCGACTTGGGAGACATGTTGTCTCTCTAGCAACTCTCAGTGCGAAAGAGACCCCGGACAGACGTTATTCTGGGTCTCCATATTCGTGTATTCCCTCCCTTGCCTCGTCGAGCAATCGATCGATGTCCAACAATCAACCCGGTCCGTCGGTAGTACTTGGTTGTTGGTTGTCTTATTTTGGGGCATTGCCCCTTAATTTTCTTTTTTTAATGTCTACGAAAAAATTCAATCGATGGAGAGAACACGCGGGGGGGGGGGGG